CGCACACACACTCTCTCTCTCTCTCTCTCTCTCTCTCACACACACACACACACACACACACACACACACACACACACACACACACACACACACACACACACACACACTACCATGTTTCCCCGAAAATAAGACAGGGTCTTATATTAATTTTTGCTCCAAAATGCAGTAGGGCTTATTTTCAGGGGATGTTTTATTTTTTTTCATGTACAACAATCTACATTTATTCAAATACAGTCATGTCATCTTTTTCTGATTGCTGCACAATGGTGGAGGGATGGGGTTTCACTTAACTAGGGCTTATTTTTGGAGTAGGGCTTATATTATGAGCATCCTGAAAAATCATACTAGGGCTTATTTTCAGGGTAGGTCTTAGTTTCGGGGAAACAGGGTAACACAACTATTTCTTTGGAAACTTAAAATAGAGTTCTTGTTAACTATTGAATATAGTTCAGGAGTTGCTGAAAATTATCTATAGGTTTTTGATGCTTGGAAAAGCTGCATATATATAGGGCTGTGTATGTGAATTATACAATAAATGGAGAAAAGGAGCACAACTCACCCTCACACAGTGTGTGGTATGCATATTATATGTGTTGCTGATACTTTGCTGCTGTTCAATCTGGACTTGTTAGCATCCTTTTGTTGTTTGTTCCATGGTTTCCAGGGGGATTTCATAGACATTCACCATCACCAATATTGATATCTGTGCTGTTCTGGCCAACTCTGACCTCTCTGTTGGTTCAAAGCACTGAAGAGAAACCTGGCATGCTGATAGTTCTACTTCTGTGCTCTGTGTGTTCTTTTAATGTGTGGATCAATAGCACTATATCAGACTTATTTAACCACAGTGCTTTTAATGAGGCAACAATTTTAAATATATGGCTGTGTGCAAAGGACCTTTTGCAATAGAAGTGTAAGAAGCAAATTGGGATATCGCTACTGCTGCAGTTACAGCAGCAGAAGCAGAGGTACTCACAGTGAAAGACAAAGCACACACATTTCTCAGTTGCCTCAGAAGTCAGATATCCATAAGAATACTAAACACCCATGAGAATTTCCCCTCCTTTCAAAGTCTTTTCAATGGGATTTTCCTTTCTGTCGTGAATGAAAAAGGTTGAAATTCTCATGGAAGAATTTTTTAGAAATTTTAAGTATGCCAGTGAGTTGAAGAAGTGGAATGGTGGGTTGCTGAATCTTGTGATTTGGAGCACTGTATCAACCTTTTTGAATACTTCATTGCTTCTTAGCCAATTAGGCTGTACACATAAACAGAAATTAAACTACAGTGGTGGCTTGCTTAGCGATTGCTTTGTTTAACGATGAAATCGCTTAGCGATTACTTTTTTGGAGCAATCTTGTGCTCTGTTTAACAATGGTTCCTATGGGCGATTTTTGCATAGCGATGTTTGGGACCATGCTTCGCATAGTGATGACAGTTTGGGTCCCCCTGTTTCACTTAACGATGGTTTTCGTTAAGCCTCATGTTGGCTGTTTTTTAAATGTTTAAAAAATGTTTAGAATGCTTGAAATCATAAGTGCACTTAATAAACCCTTTGTTAAACTAATTTGACTTTGTTCTGACTCTTTTTAAATTTGTTGTAATTTTTTCCCCCCATTGAGATGCATTGAATAGGTTTCAATGCATTTCTGTTGGGGAACCGTGTTTCGCTTAGCAATGTTTCCTATGGCGAGTTTCGCTTAAGGACGGCAATCCGTTCCCATGGGAACGGATTATCCGGTTTTCAATGCATTTCTATGGGAAACTGTGTTTCACTTAGCAATGAAATCGCTTAACAGCGATTTTTTGGGAACCAATTATCATCGTTAAGCGAGGCACCACTGTACTCTTAAAAGATAGTATTTGGCATCTAATATAAATACACATAAACAACCAGAAAAACATAAAACAATAAAAGAAGCATTCTCAGAAAAATATAAAATTGTAAGATTAACTTGAAGAGCTTGTGAAACAGGCAATGAGTTCCATTTTTCCATGGCTCATTTAATGAATTTAGTAGTCCGATAAGACATCTAGTAGTCTCTGCCAGCTAATGCAGTTGCAGAAATAAAACTGTACATAAAGGAGAGTTGTTCTTGATCCTGGTTTTTAAGAGTTTCAGACATTGACCTCTCAAGTCCGT